CACCCACACACACACACACTCACACACACCAGCTTGTCCCTATTGCCTCAGTTTTCTTCTTAAACTTGATATTATTTGTAATTATTTCTTATATTTTTAAGTTAATGGTATAATTATATCATGTCCCCCTTTCCTTTTGTTCCTCTAAACCCTCCTTGACCTCTTTCAAATTCATGATTTAGTTTTTCATTAATTGTTGTGGCATACATATATGTATATTTCTAAACGCATAAGTACAACATACTCAGTCTACATGATGTTACATTCAGACATATATATATATTTTCGGGACTGACCATTGGATAACTATTGGTCTTCTCCTCGCTAAGGAATGCTGTTTCCTCCACTCTCAGCATTCCTTAATTGCCTGTAGTTCTTTGTGTAGAGTTGAGGCTTCCTGGGCTTTCCATGATCTAGTTTGGCATTTCTAATGTTGTTCTTTTCAACTCATGTTTAGATAGTCATATTGGTGAGGCATTATGTGTGTATATTCTGACATTACTTGGAGACAAAGTCTCACAGCAAACCTCCCCAATCCCCTGACTCTTAAAATCTTCTGCCCCTTCTTCTGCAAGGATCCCTGAGCCTTAGGTGCTGGAATTGTATTGTAGAAGTGTCATTTGGGACTGGGCTCCACAACTCTGCAATTTGATTGCTTGTGGTTTTCTATAATGGTCTCCATTTATTGCAAAGAGAAGTTTCCTTGATTAGGGGTAATGACTACACTTACCAGGCTGGACCCCAAAGAAGGATCACCCTTGTTTTCATTAGTAACTTTACCACTTATCCAACTGCTAACACTAGAAACCTCTTACAGCTTCTCTGCTGTGTCCCCTTCCTAAGAAGCAGGTATTCAACCAGGAGTCAGTTAGTGGAATTGTTGGGTTTAACAGGAGCCTATTAGTTTAGCCTATTAGTATAAATGTCTTCTGTTTCCAATTTATCTTTCATTTAGTCTCCAATTAGTTCTGTAAACAAAATTCTGATAAAAGTTTAACACATCCAGTGGTTGAATTGTTGGGGTGAGGTTACTTATCCTAAGTGGCATGTACAATTAATTCCTCCATGTCTCTTGTAGTGGTTTGAATGAGAATGACCTCCATAGGCTCATGTGTTTGAATGCTTTGTCACCAAAGAGTGGAACTGTTTGATAGGATTAGAAATTAGGGGGTATGCCACATGGGCTTTCAAAAGCCTATATCAGCCCACCTTCTCTCCCTCTCCTCTCCTCCCCTCACTTCTCTCTCAGCCTGCAGACCAGGAAGTAGCTCTCAGCTATTGCTCTAGCCATGGAGAGCATGATGCCATGCTCTCCGCCATGATTATAATGTACTAAATAAGCAAGCCCCCAGTTTGACATTTTCTTTTATAAGATTTGCTTTGGTCATGGTGTCACTTTACAGCAATGGTAAGTTACAGCTATGAAAGGATTTTGTGGCCTGATATTGGGCTTTTTTTCCTGTTGTATGGGGCCTGGCCCATTCTCCTGCCTCAAGGTCCTGGAAAAGGCTCAGGCCCTTAGAGTTGTCTGGGGGGGTGAGGTCTAGCCACTTGTATGCCTCTAGAAGCTGGGTTTGGCCATTAGAGAAGTGTAGGGTAGCTGTTCAAGCCTAGAGGGGCTTACAAATAGAACAGTGACTAAGACAGAAGTTGGTACCAAGGACTGTGGTGTTGTTGCGACAGGCCTGGTCATGCTGTTTCTTGGAGGAATATGGGAGACTTTGGGATTTTGGACTAGAAAAACTGTTGGGCACTTTAGTCGAGGCTCAATGGGCCATCCTAGTAGGACATGAAAGATAGTTCTGTGGACCATTTGAACTGTAAGAGCACAGGTCAATAAGTTTCAAGAGGGGAAGAATATTAGTAAGTGGCCTACAGATAATTCTTGTGATATTTAGGTCAAGAATATTGCTACATTTTGCTCATGTCTGAAAAATCTACCTGAGGCTAATTTGAGTTTTGTGTTGTAGGATATTTGTACACTGTGTGAAAATGAATAGTTGTGGTTTGTTTAATGAAAAGTTGAATGGCCAATAGCTAGGCAGGAGGTATAGGCAGGACTTCATGGCAGAGAATGAACTCTGGGAAGAAGGTAGGGTCACCAGCCAGATGCAGAGGAAAAAGCATGAGCAGTATGGCAAGATGAGGTAATGAGCCATGTGACAGAAAGTAGATTTTAAAATGGGTTAATTTAAGTTATAAGAGCTAGTGGGACAAGCCTAAGCTAAGGCTAGCTTTCATAATTAGTAAGTCTCTGTGTCATTATTTGGGATCTGGCAGCACAGAGAAAGACTCATTACAGTTTTGGATTAATGGCATTGGCAGGGGAAATTTCAAGACATCCTAGGATTAACTTTGTCACCTGGGTATTAGTGGTCACTCTTACGTAGATCTATAATGAAAAGGAAGAAGCTGGGCAAAGAGAAATAAAAAATATACAGTATGTGAGGAGAAAAAGAACACAGGGAAAGGTTGGATCCAAGTCCTGGGCTCAAGGAGAGAAAATCCTGATGCTAAATGCCAGAAATCCAGTGGTGACCTCAAGGTCACCAGCAAGACCCCACCCAGCTAAGCTGCCAATTTGTAAAAAGGAATTAAAGAAAAGCTTAATCATTGAAGGAAATCTGAAAGCCAATACAAATGTAATTGAAAGACGGGACCAAGTTCCAGCGCCATCAAGCAGTACTTGGCAGCTTCTGCCACAGAGTTCTGTATTTGGAATGAAGGATACAAGAAAGGGGTTGTGGAATATCTCTCTGCATCTAAGGAAAGCTACTGAGGCCAGGTGTGTTTCAAGGGTGTCCTTGAATGAAGGCTCAGAGTCATGGGATACCTGCCAAGGAGAGCTACAGACCAGGTGTGGAACCAGCCCATGAAAGAGAAGTGTGTTGCAGTCAACAAAGTTGAAAGGAATTGAAGATATGAAGACGGGGCAAAGTTTCCTCCATCTTGTATTCTTATTGAGACCATTTCAGGTTTAACTGGAATTTGATCTCCTTGATGGAGAATCCCACGGAAAATTATCTGATTCTGTTCTAGGAACTCAAGGTCAGGACGCCCTAACTAACTTAGCTTCCGCTAAACTGCTTGCCCCCATTCCTCCCAAGCTGTCAAGTGAAATGCCAGGTTGTGGTTTCTGGCTTCAAAAAGCTTGTGTTCTGGACACTCCGAGTTACATCTAGGTCCCTGAATACTTGGGTGTGGTCCCAGCCAGGTGGAATAAAGACTTTCAGTTGGTTACACTGTATCTAAGTGGTCATCTCTGGTGGGCTGCCAGTAACATTCAGACATGGAGATACAGAAGGAGTTTGCTCAACTGGTTTTCAGTCTTGCTTTGGTTCAGTATTTCCTCATTATGCTCCTGTTCCTCCTTTTGGAATGGTAATATGTGTTCTGTGTCATTGTATGTTGGAAGTATGTGATCTGCTTTTTGATTTTGGTTTTATAGGGTATTATAGTTAAGAGATTGCCATGAGTCTCAGAAGAGACTTTGAACTTTTGACTTTTAAACAGTGTGTTGAGACTGTGGTAGGCGATGGGGACTTTTGAAGTTGGTCTGAATGCATTTTTGTATTATGATACGGCTACAAGCCTATGGAGGTCTTGGAGGGTAATTTGGTGGTTTGAATATGAATGGCTGTCCTAGACTCATATATTTGAATATTTGGGCCGTTAGGGAGTGGAACTGTTTGATAGGATTAGGAGAATTAGGAGGTATGGCCTTGTTGGAGGAAATACATCACTGAGGGTGGGCTTTGAGGTTTCAAAAGCCCATGCCAGGCCCAGTCTCTCTCTTCTCTCTCTCTCTCTCTCTCTCTCTCTCTCTCTCTCTTTCTCTGTGGATCAGGATGTAGCTCTCAGGTACTGTTCCAGAGCCATGCATGCCTCTATGCTTTCTGTCATGATGACAATGGACTAAACCTCTAGAACTGTCAGCAAGCCCCTTATTAAATACTTTCTAAGAGTTGCCTTGGCCACTATGTCTCTTCACAGCAATAAAATAATGACTAAGACACCCCTCCACCCCCAATCAAAATTCACCTTTCTGATGATCTACTCTCTTAATTCTCTGCTTTCTGCTATGTGGTAGCTAGCTCTTGTAACACCTCAGCCCACGTGGCTTTCTAAATTGTATGTTTATTTCAGCTAACCATTCTAGAGATAGTGATGTGCACTGGGGATTGGTTAGGAGGATTTTATTAACAATGTTCTATAGTAACCCAGAGTTTCCTTCTCTGCATTCAGGTAGTGGCAGCCCCCAAATCATGCCATGGTTCTGCTTCATAGACAGAATTGTTCAGGTTCAAAACACTATAATTGAAGACAGAAAGGAAGATTCCAACCTACTTTTGGGAACATTTTATTTCCTATTTTGTTTTGGGAGGACATAACTGCATTTTCTCCATGAATAAAATCTTTTTCTCTCCTTCAACACACTGCTATCACCAGTATTTCTAGTTGCCTTTACTTTCACCTTAATTTTCTTTATCTCTTCCCCGCCCCATTCCATTGCACTTTCTATGATCTCATTTTGGTCATGTTTTGTCAGTCTATTGGGGATTTCATTTGGAGATTATTTTTATCCTACCCAAAGCATATAAACCATATTGAAGCCTGTCATTTGTCAGAAGGAGGTCTAAATCTGAAGCTAAAATGACATGTAGTATAATGTTGTATAAATTGAGTGGTATTTCAGTTTTGTTTTTCACTGTAACTGAACTTTCTCCTCCTCTATTTTTTCGAGTAAAGAACCCTTTGTAAGGAATTTCCTGTTTCAAAGTTATCATCTCCTGTGATGGGGGCTTGTTATGTGAGTAGCCTGAGAGGAAAGACACATCTTTTATACTTTAAAACTAGACGTCACTTAAGAACTATTTCTATTTACCCCAAATTCTTTCCCTCCAAAAAGGAAATAAACAATACTTAGTAGTAAATTCTATGCTGTTTCTTTAACTCCAGCCCCAGGTAAAGGAAGAGAGTTTTTCTACATTTTTTTTTGTTTCTAGAAACAACAACAACAACAAAAATTTCAGTGTCCTTAGTGGCATCACAAATAGGGCAGACAGTTGTTTGGATAGTAGATGTGGAAATAAAAATAATAGTAAAAAGATACTGAGTTGACCAGATTCAAGAATGCCACATGTCCATCCCCAGCTGTAGGAATATGTTCTTGAGCTGGTAAGATGGCTCAAAAGGTAAAAGCACTCTGCAAACATAAGTTCAAATCTCCAATGTCCATGTAAAAGGCTGGTTATGGTTATGTGTGTTTGTGCCAGCTCTGGGCAGGGGTAGAAGGCAGAGACTGGTGGATCCTGGGAGGCTGGTCAGCAAGTTTAGCCAAAACAGGAGGCTTCGGTTCAGTGAGAGACCCTGTCTCAAGGCAATAAAATGGAGAGCAATAAAAGAAAACACCTGAAGTACTGCTCTGGGTGCTGCGTAAGCACACACAGGTGCACACATACCACACACACACACACACACACACACACACACACACACGTAAGTGCACACACACAGGTGCACATACACATAGGTGCACACACACAGGTGCACACACAGGTACACACACACACAGGTGCACACACACACAGGTGCACACACACACACACACACACACACACACACACACACACACAGAGACAGAGAGAGAGAGAGAGAAAAGACATTTTTCGAACCCAACTCTAATTTCAAGTAAAGGTCTGAGAATCTGTAAAGTTGCATGGAGTTGAGGTGTCTGTTGCTGGATCTGTGTAGTATAATGGGTAATACTACCATTAGTATCAAGAAGAATAAGTACCCAAGAACTATTTACTACCACAGAGGAAGGATGTCTTAGCCAGTGTTCTATTGCTGTGACCTTAGCAACTCTTATAAAAGAAAGCATTTATTGGGGCTGGCTTATAGTCTCATAGGTTTAGACCATTCTCTTCATTGCAGGGAGCATGGTGACATGCAGGCAGAAGTGGTACTGGAGAAGAAGCTGAGAGTTCTATATCCAGATCCACGGACAGCAAGAATAGAAAGACACTGGGCCTGGCTTGGGCTTTTGAAACCCCAAAGTCCACTCCCAGTGACACACTTCCTCAAAACACCACACATGCTGCAAGCAAGGATACAACTAATCCCTCTCAGGTAATACCACTCACTGGTGACTAAGCATTCAAATATAGGAGCCAATGGAGACCATTCTTATCCAAAGCATGACAAGGGATATATATGTATGCTGTCAGGAGCTAGAAAACGAAACAAGAAACGAGTATGAAGACTGGAGAGAGGAGATGCATTCAGCAAATCATCATAATTTATTAAAGAGATTCAAGAATGCAAATTACCATGAATAAAAAATCCACGATTCCAAAAGTAGAAACTGAATACATATGTGTATGTGTGTGCATACATAATCAGGAGGAACAGAATTCAGAATTACCTGTCCTTCCACCACTTCAGATGACAACACTATTAGTTTATAGCAACCTAAATAGCAGCTTGTATTTAAAATTTATATACAAGCCTGTCTGTAGCTGTTTAGGGTTGCCTAAAAAGAACAAAAAGGATTTCAACTGCTATTGGCAGATTTGCTGCCATAAAATTTATTCAAGATGATTCTGTCCATTATGATGTGGATAAATGCATTTATTAATTCAGATGTCTGTTTATGCAAGCAATCAAGTACAGTGACTAAACGTCTTCCATAATACTGTGCTCAGTATTTAGTAGGCTGTGTAATCTTGGATTCTTATCTGTAAATTGAAGATAAATGGTCACGTTAGTAACCTGATAGGTTGAGATGAGGACTAAGTAGTAACATTTAAAACATCTGGAAAAGCATTTGGTACTGAGTAAGTGCTCTTATCATTATTCTGGCTTTTAGCCAACCCACTGGGCAAATTAGCCTTGAGTCTCATAGATGCCGAAGGATTTCTAGAAGATGTGCATGAGAGTGAAGTTTATTAAGAAAAATGAGGGTGGGGCTGGAGAGTCCCAATTAGAGTTCAGCCAATTAGAGTGTTTGTTGTTCATGCCAGAGGACCAGGGTTCAGTTCCCAGCACCCACGTGGTGGCTCACTCATGTATATCTACAGTTCCAGGAGATCTAATGCCTTCTTCTGACCTCTTCAGGCATCAGACACACACAGTGCACATGCATACATGCAGACAAAACATTGCATTCATACAATGCAATAAAGTTAAAATGTTTTTAAAAAGTTTTTAAAAAGAGAAAGTTAAGCCATCCAAGGAATTTAGTATCACATTTATTATGTTTAGGGCTGAGTTTTGGTGTTTTCACGTTAGAATGCCAGAATCCATGAGACATGGATTCTGGCATTGTTAGGATATAAACTAGTAAAAACTGGTCACTTTCTTTCCTTTTCAGACAGTTTATTCTGTGTAGTTTTGAACTCACTTTGTAGACCAAGCTGGCCTCAATTCAGAAATCTTCCTCTGTATAGGGAGAGACCCCTACGCACCTGGGTGCTGACCACGCCCATTTGGACGTGGCCAGAGGTGGGTAAGGGTCGTGTGGGATAAAGATAGGAGGATAGGAGCACTTGGCTCTCCGGTTACGGTCGGGTCTTGGAGAGCTGCTGAGACTAACCTGGGTCATCGGTTTCTCTTGTAAGTGATTTCATCTTAATAAATTAACCATCTATATCCATATTCCCTGTAGGGTTATTTTCCTGTACACCTCTGCCTTCCTCTTTCTAGGATTAAAGGCGTGAATCACCTCGACAGACTCCTTCAGACTCATTTTCAAAAGCTCAGTTGTCTCTTTACATTATTGGTGGGTTTTTAAAAGAGTATATATTGTATCTTATTTCACCCAGTTGTGGCAGATTAAGAGATGGAAGAATGGGAAGGACCGGCTGAAGCTTTCAAGTAGAAAACCTCAGATCACTAATTGTTAGCCTCATTATCATCAATAACAATATTTTGAACTTTGAATCACTCTAGAAAACGAAAAGTATGCCTTCTTGAATTTCCTCATCGGGTAACTTAGACCCGCTATGATGTGAACACGAGTTGAGCATATCATGTTACTTGGGCTTATCGTCGATCTAAATTTTAGATAAAACTTGTCGTGTATCATTCCTTTTCTTAGGAGGAACCACGCTCCAGATCCACGCCCTGCCGAGAGGTGGAGCTGCTAAGCAACTCCTGGCCTAGAGGGTTACACCTAGGGTTAGGGTTATGGTGTGGGGT